CGCTCTTCTGCTTTGAATCATTTATGTTCAATCTCTCTGCCACTGTGCTGATTCCCCCACTTCTCTCCAGGCTCTGTTGTTGCCTATCAGCCTCCATCCTTGGCTCTTTGCCTTCCTTTATTCCCAGCCCTCAGCTTTTTGTTCAACCGCATTCGGCCTCCACGTGGACAACCCAGCTGACTTGGCTGAATTTTCCTTCATGCACCTACGTGTTAAAAGTGCAGCCCTGGGAAAACTCCTGCCCTCATTGCAAAGATAACCCTAATCTGCCCGAACTAACAACGTGAGAGAAGGCATTCACTCTCCTAACCTCATCATACCACTAAGTTTCTCTTCTCTATAAACTTGTGTGTTAAACTCACTTATATAATCATTGTACCCCAGTCCTGCAGTGAACATCATGTCAGGAGTCTGCAGACAACTCTACTTAAAACAGCTGTGGGAATTCACCCATTCTGAACCACTTTGCTTTTTATTCTTGAGATTAATACCTCCAGGATGCTCATCCCCAAGTACTGTTAATGCAAATCAAGGGAAACACTTTCAATGTGTTATTAAAAGAAACTTATTCCCCACTCTCTCTCTCCTTCCCACTAGAATACAGGGATACCATTTCATGATTTTAGCATGAGTCTTGCAGTATTTCTTGCCTTTACTTCTTGTTCTTACTCAGAACTCAATTTTTCTGTCCATTTTCCCTGACCAGAATCCACTCTAAACTGGGCAAATATTTGAAGGGAAGGTTTTGGCATATTCCATACTGATTTTTTTTTAACTACAATAACCAAATAAATGTAGCTATGTTAACATAAAAGAAATGTGCACTTAATATTTTGTTTTACTTAGAAGAACATTTAAGAAGAAAGATCACAGAATCATAGAATCTTTTAGGTTGGAAAAGACATTTGAGATCATCCAGTCCAACCATTAACATAACACTACCACGTCCACCACTAAACCAATTAAGTGTAGAGTAGTAATTTCATGTTCCCTGGCTTGGTGGCTGGATTATTTTTTACTGAAAGTAAATACTAGGAATTACTAAGGTTGGAAAGGACCTCTAAGATCATCAGTTCAACCATCAACCTAACACCACCATGCCCACTAAACCATGTCCCCAAGTGCCACGTCTACCCATTTTTTGATCACCTCCAGGGATGGTGACTCCACCGCCTCTCTGGGCAGCCTGTTCCAATGCTTGACC